GCGTGTGCGCATGCCACTGCCACACTGTTTTGATTACTGTAGCTCTGTAGTGTTGTCTGAAGTCTGGGAGGGTTGTGCCTCCAGCTTTGTTCTTTTTCCTCAGGATTGCTTTGCAAAATCTGAGTCTTGTGTGATTCCATATAAACGTTAGGATTACTTGTTCTAGTTCTGTGAAAAATATCCTGGCTAATTTGCTAAGAAGCACAGTGAATCTGTAGATTGCTTTGGGTAGTGTGGCCATTTTGATAATATTAACCCTTCCAATCTAAAAGCATAGATATGTTTCCACTTCTGTATAGTCGTCTTCAGGCCTCCACAGCCCACCCGCCGGGCAGCTCTGTCCTGTGACATCTAGCTGCTTCGATCTCCACGAACCCTCCTCTTGTCTTCTCAGTCCAGGAGACCGTGGGCTCGGTTTGGGTACTCCCGCCCCTGCGCTGTGGCGGGACCTCCTTCATCTGTCCCCCTGCGGTGCAGGACCACCCCTCTGCTGCCTGTTATGCAATAGCGGGGAACCACTGTTTCATTCATTTTGCCCCATTTTCCAACTGTTTAAATGCAAGGCGGTAAAGCCAGTTCCCGTGAACTCACACTGACCTGATGCTGAAGCCCACAACACTCTGGTTCTGGCCCACACGTTTATTTCACACCCCGTTAGAGTGTGAGCTTCATGAGACCCAGAATATTTGGGAAAGTTTCTGTTTTATCCTCAACTCCCGGCACCCGTTGCATCTCAGAAGCTATTTGGCAATAGGGTGAGCAACCATCCCAGTCTGTCCAGAAAGAGCGCCCACTCAGCTCTGGAGGCTAACTGCCTAGGGCCCCCCAAAATAGTTCATCTCTTTTAAAGAAAAAAAAAACTTTTAGGGTCAAAGAAAAACGCCGCATGTTTCCTTTTCTTTCTCACATTAGGAGAAAAAAATGTAGGGCTCAGAAAATCTTAAATTTTGGCTTAACCATTATTCCCGTGGGAGGGGCCCGTGAAATAAGGGGATCCTTTCAAGACTTGCTTTTCCACTTTGTTAGGTGGGAACTGAAGCCCAGAGATGCCAGGTAATGTGCCGAGGTCACATAGCAGGTAAAGCAGGACCCAGAAGCCTGAAAAGGAAGCGTCAGCGCCCCGCCTCCCACCCCCGCAGCTCCACGTTACCCACCTGCAAAACTGGGGTGCGGGGCCGACTACCTAACGCTGCGGGGTGAGTGGGCGAAGTGCATCCGGTGGAGGGAGGGAGGGGCAGAAGATTCGGCCCTCCGTGCAGGTGGCCCGTGACGCGTCTGGA